GGCATACCGTATCCTGAGAGTCTTGAGTTGAGGAAACAGTGTAGGAAGCTGTTTGCAGAGACTATCATCAGAGCAGTTATGATCTATGTCCAGATGCTCAACTCGCTGGAGTTGAGATGCAATGGAGCTCATCTCGCACGCGCATAGGGATGTTCGCAGTGTCAGACTGGTCACCTGGGTTGGAAGGTCTTCCGCATAAGAGGCAAGAAAATGCCCTCCTATAAGGAAAGAAATGACAGGACAGAAGTTACAGAAAACTGTTTTGGCCTGGAGCTTCACACAGCTTCACTATACACACACAATACAAAGATTAAATGCATGTTTTGACTCACCAATGATTGAGAGTGATTCCAGCTGTTGCAGATAACTGAGCCAGGAATAGAGATGGCACTCGAGACCATCCGAGGGGTACCTGTAGTGGACAGCAAGCGACTTGAGTGAAGTCAGACCCCTCAGCGCGTCCTCCGACAGGATGATATCTGTGTAATTGACTAACTCCAAAGAGATCAGTTCTGGGCCGCCGTACTCTCCTACAGGATAAAAGAGGTGGTTAGTTAAACATTTAGTCTCTGTCAGTTAAGTTTAGCATAGTCACACAATACTGCACAACAGGCTGTGTGATCACAATACTAATCAGAATAATATGTATTTATGAATGTAATCAGAATAATAATTCCTAAGAAATTATGTAGGTTACAGTTGGTCGAAGATAGTAACAGTAATAGACTAAACTAATTAAATAATACAATATATTACAAGTACAATACAGTTTCCAAAATTTAAGAAATAGCACTAATATATACATTAAGAATATTACAGAGGTGAAATATATGTGATCATGCAGCATGTGTGCAGCTCAAATGACTTCAATATGATGGGTTTTGTTCCAATATTAAGGCATAATGTCAAGAAAATGTTGTATTTTCTTGATGAAAAGCTCTTGTCAAAGGTGTAAAAAGTGACTGTATTGGTTCTGATGCTTGCAAGTGTAAAATATAATCAGGAGACTGGCTTACCTGGGTTTTCTGGGTCCAGTGGGTAGAAGTAGTTGTTGGGCAGTGACACTGGTGGCTCCCCTTTCATTCCCCAGGATAAGTGTTTGAGTTTCTTCAGGTTTAGCAGCAGGTTGTGGAAGATGAAAGAGGGCACTGGCTTCATCCTCTCAAGCCTTACACTTTCCTGCTGGTGGAACAGCAAGTACTCCAGGTTGACCAAGCGTGACACGCTTTTGATGAACGCCACAGTCTTTTTGCAGGACATCTGAATGTTGCAGACGCTGAGGTGAGTCAACCGCTCTGCTAGTTGCTGACTCTGACACTGCACCAGTAACGGCCCAACCCAGGTGACGTTTCGTACCCCAAGACTGGTCAGGTTGGGGAATTCACACAGGTTGTCTAAGTATTTCATCTTGTAATACCGCCGTTCCCTCACACAGACAATGGTGTTGAGCGATGGGAGGGACTTGCTGAGGATTTTCCAATCTCTGGGTCGTAAATCTCGCACTGTGGCACGGCTGACCCCACGGCACTGCACGGTGTCCCAGAATCCAGATGTGTAGCGGAAAAAGTTGGAGAGTCCTGTTGTATAATCCTTCCACAGGGACGGGTGGTCGATGAGATCTCTGAAGCGTCTGCAGCAGAGGCGGGCTGTGTGCTTCTCCTCAGTGTTCAAGTAGCTGAACACCAAAACCCAAACTTCAGGTGGCAGATATGGTAACTCCTGGACCTTCATGTTGACTGTTTGAGCCATTGCACCTCAATTCCTTACACAAATCCAACCAATGCAGAGGCTGCAGACCTACAATTAATAGTCCTTTGTCCCTGAGTAACTGATTTGCTGAAAGGTAGGAGAACCTGGAAAGGGAACAACAACAGTTTACAACAACTCAGGCTAAACAAAAAAATGACCAAGACCTCACTTAAGCTCTTTTTTTATGTAAAAGGAATAACTATCCCAACATCCTTGTGGGTTGCCATGTGAATTTAAAGAAGCTTGTTGAGGTGAAATTTGCTTGTACCTGTGAGTCACTGAAAACAAGGCCTCCTTGCATTTATCTCCAAACAAATAAATTAATCTCTGACTCAGTCTGGCTTCATGAAACGTGGATATAAAAAGTCATATTATTATTACAATCCTAGATTATTTTCACAAAGTATTTCCTGCACATGTTAATTCTCTACAGCCAGCCAAAAAGAAACAAATGAAGGATAATCTGAGATGTATTTTAACAGAAAAACCACTTTCCCTCCCAAAATTACTTAAAATAGGTCAGTAAAGATCTATAAATACTTTATATGCTTAAAAACAGCATTGCAGTACATCTAACCAGCAGAGATGCTACAACAGGTAAACTTAAACTACACAGCAAATTATAGTTTGTTGTAGAGAATAATCCTTACCTTGCAGGAGTTTCTGAAAAGTTCAAATCCAGTAAGAAGCAGATGGAGAAGCTCTTCCAGCCTACACACACACTGGGCCAAAGCAGAGTGACCATCCCTGTTCTGTGACCCTTAAAAAGCTTGCTGGTACTTAATTAACATATGACTTTGTCTTTAAAATAATCCCTGTATATCCTCTTAATTGTCTGCTGTTGACATCATCAGTCAAGTGGGGTGTGCTTGAGGCTTAAGCTCATCACTCCATTGTTGTGTTCCAGACTGCTTGATCACATCACTTACATGTCTCCACATCCCACTCACTGTTTCATGTCCTTTCTCTTTCTTATATGCAACTGAAAGCTTACCATGACATATTGCTGTTGCATGTGTTCATACAGAATTCCTGTGTAAAACGACTTAACTAGCACACTTAGCAAACAACACCAGTCACACTGAGCCACACATTTGTCCCTTTTTCTTAGCTAAATAAAAATCAAAGTAAAGAATATTTTCAATGTTTCATTTAAAAGAGTTTATTTCAAGCTTGTATTAACGGAATGTTCTACAGCACCAAAGGTTTTGTAATAGTTACCAGATCTTATCTGCAGTCCATCACTGTATATCTGCTAACTCAGAGGCCTGCAAACTTTAACATTAAAAAAAAAATAAATCAGTTTTTAGCACAATTAATTTTTTCAGCAGCCCAAAATCTGCATGGAGCCACATAAAAGTGTGACTACTCTGCAGTAGGTTATTTGTTTATGCACTTTAACTGTATTCATGATCACTTACACAAACAGTCCAGTTAAAGTAAGAACTGATCTAATCTTTAGATGATGATTAATTTCTTCCAAATCCTTTTGTAGCAGCTAGAGCGGGGGTGTCCAACTAGATTCCCAGAGAGTTACTGTCCTGCAGCTTTTAGATGCATCCTTACTCCAACACAGCTGAATCAGATGTGCTTCAGCGTGCCATCAAGTTTGGCAAAGGCTTGATAACGAGGTAGCATTTGATTCAGGTGTGTAGCTCTCGAGGACTGCAAAAAGCTACACACTGTTCAACAAATTAAAGGACAGAAGTGCATGTGAGAAAACCAATTTCAATCTGCCAATTTTTGGACAGACAATAAAGTCTGTCCAAGGATGACCAGCAACAGCTGACATGACTTTTTCATCTCAACAGTTCCAGGAACGACCCCCCCTACTGTAACACAGGCCATAAACAGACACACAAAGAGACTTCAGAGAAACAACAGAGTGTCACACTAACAGAATAACCTAAACTAAGTAAAATAATGTGAATGATCATGATCACAATTATCTGGCTAATATATTGATCTGAACAACAACAATCTATTTAGATTTATTTTCAAAGCTTTTATTTCTGAACCTTATAGAATGTAATTCAATAACAGGCTCTGAGTTATTTGTGATGAGGCTAAAATCAATATTTTTCACACAAGTCTGCCTTAAGCCGAACATCCCGCAAGATTTTGCTGTTTTCTAACAGGTTATTTTCCCAGTGTCCAATCATAAATATTTTAGTGGCTGCAGATTTTTAGCATTTTATAATTCAGATAAGAGAAGCTCAAAACTGTTCAAATTGCTCTCCAGGGCACGGATGCTTGATTTCAGCAATTTCCTGCTTCAAACCCACATTCACATAAGGCTGAAGGTTTGAAAGTAATAGTTGTTGGGAGCAGAGGCTGCAGGCATAGGCAAATGTTTGGAGGCCCCGGGGTAATGCAGAGTGCACAACAGCTGCATGAAATAAATGAATGGATGAGAAATCTGAAGTTATAGGTGCAGATTGCAGAGGCAATTCCTCTCTACGTGCAACTAGCTGATGAGGTTTCTCTTCTTTGCACCAGTTTAGAGATGATGGGCAAACATGTGTTTGTTGCCAGAGCAGCACCCACTTTCTAAAGTCTCTCCCCCCCCCAAAAAAAGCCTTTAACTGCTTTGGTTAAACACATTCTAAATTACAGAAACATTTGAGTTTAGAATGTTTTTGTGAAGAAGAGATAAAAAAAAGTTTTTCACTGAGGGAAAAGCACAAAATGTCATATTTAGTTAAAAAACAATTTTTTTTCATGTAAATTGAAAAACATATTGAAAGGAATTTTGCATTATCAAGCAAGTGTAGAAGTACGTGAACAAATAATCAAAAAATAACACTTAGTACAAAGTAGCTGCTACAAAGTAGCTGCTACAAGGTAGCTGCTACAAAGTAGCTGCTACAATGTAGCTGCTACAATGTAGCTGCTACAATGTAGCTGCTACAATGTAGCTGCTACAATGTAGCTGCTACAATGTAGCGACCCATATGGTGAAAGTTACTCAAGGGCCTGTGTGAATAATAATGAGGCCTAATTTTGAGAAATAAAACTCCAAAAATGGCTATTGATTACCTTATAAACCCTCTACAAATGCCTTTCTCCTTGAATCTGCAGAATCTAAGTTCCAATGACCAGTTTTGTTTACATGTAGTTTATCACTAATGCTCACAGAAAATGTACAAAATGAGCAGTGGTGGTCAACCAAGCTAGAAAGTGAATAAAGAGGTGAGAGAACAGCAAAAAAAGTGATGAATAAGACAAAAAAAAAAATCTAATTATAAAACACTGTATCTGTGTATACATATTTCCTTGAATTTTTTTGACAGTAGTGTAACCCAACTGAAACTGGGTCCAGCTGAAACTGAGGAAAATCTCCAGCTCTCTGTGGACTCTTTCTATAAAGAGTGCGTCCAGCAAATTTAAATGACTTATTTATTAGGTCTGGGGAGGATTCGATTGGGTTTTGCAGAAATAACAAGTTGTTAATAATCTGAACTCTTTTCAATACAACCTGAAGTTCTACAAGCTACATCTTTATTAATATCGATGTATTAATAGTTTTTTAACTACAGTACAATTTGCTCAACCAAACCCAATTTTATTTAGTATTTGTGATATTATTTTTACACAGAGCATTTGTGTTGCACAAAGAGATGTGATATAGGACTGTACTTTTTATTTTCTGTAACTGTTTAAAAAGCGGACAGGTGCTACAGCTTTCGTTGCAGAAATAAGAAAACATATTTTCCAAAGGTGAGGTTGTCATTTTGTGGTCACTGTTTTGACCACACTCCTGCTGTTTAACAGATGACAGTAATTTGCATTCATTTAAGCTTCTGGAAAAGTCAGTGTTTCCCTGGATGCACGAGAATTGCTCTTTATTTTCTGAAATGGAAAATAAAACAGATGATCAAATACGATATGAGTTATGTGACATGTTATAGCATGAGCATGCATGGTTGAAAGTGGAACCAGGTTACTAGTTTAGTGATGATGTGACTGCTGATATAAGAAACGGGACGAATTGTGCACAGGGTTGTACTCTCTGCTCAGATTCAGCCAAATGCTGCAAAACTGGACCTTCACAGACAAAATGATAAAGGGTAGCTCATGCTTTCAATGAGGTTTCAAGGCTTTTCATCCAAATATTAAAAACAATTGTTATTTTGTTAAATTTACAACTCTTGATGAAAATGCACAACCGCCCAAAATTGTCATAACACGACTGGAGCAAATGATTAAAAAATAAGCACACCGAATTCACACCATGATATTCTATTACATCATTATAACCACATCTAATGTTTTACTTCAAAAACAAGGAAGCATCTTCTTGTTTCCTTTGTTCTCATTCCCTTTTTGTGAACAAAGGCATTCTAAAAATAACTGACCTGTTATAAAAATCGTTTTACCTCCTCACAGTATTTCTAAATATTCAACCAGTTGATTCTGAAATGTTTACATCCCAGTATTGTTTTAGTCCTGTGTCCTTACTCCCCCCCAAACACAGTCACATACTCAAAAAATGTAACTTTGCTGCATTATATTGTTGATCAGTTGACAGCTCCCTGATTGGCCTCTGCAAAGATTGACTTGGTCATGCTTGGCCTTGACAGTCTCTGTGAAAGCACCCCAGCTCCAGCTGCTCTAGTTGTTGTAGCTCAGTGATGCTGAAGTGGTCTCTTACTGGTTCACTACGGTAAAATCAATGGGAAGGGGACAGAAAACAGTTTGGTTGTATTCAAGAAGTGAGCACAATAAAATGTAAAATATGCAGATTAGGAGGAATAAAGAAGCAATATAATGCTTCTGTTAAATAACTAACGGTAAATCAGAAAAGTGCTCAGAGAAGTCACAGAAAAATTCTTTAGCCCCATTTTGCTGGCACCCTGTATTTGGAATGTAGACACTATAAAAGATGGATTATAACCATTATGACATGCTCCAGGGGTTTGTGACATTCCATTATGAATCGTAGAAATTAGCATTTTTGCCATGTTGGTGTTTTTTCTAACGATGTGATGAGTGAGAGA